CTAAATACCTGGTATTTTGGCCTCCTTTTGCTTGAATTGCTGCATCAGTATGGAGGCAATCTGCATGTGGCACAGCTGAATGCCCAGGTTGTTTTAAAGGTTGTATCAGCGATTGCAGGCACAAACATAAATGATCATTCATCCTCATGATCCGCTAACTGCACGCCCCATAAGCAGGCCGTCAAAAAAAAAAAAAAAAAAACGCGTCTGTAGGCAGCCTAGGCTACGAGATCTGTACCCAAAAAATAAAAGACGGCAACAGTGCTACCAACCACTCATAGTGGTTCCACAAATAGTGTTCCAAACAATTACTGACGTGGAAAAAATAGTGTTCCAACCAATTACTGACTGAACATGAAAATGCTTTTCTTAAGGCATACATTCTGTATTACAAATCCTTGTTTTTATTGGTTATATGTGATATTTTAATTTTCTGAGATACTCCATCAACTGTTTGGTTAGCACTCTTTATTCATTACTATGTATTGTCTCGCCAGGATATGCCAGGTGATAGCCGGAGCAACCAATGGCCATCTTCATCAGTGAGAGCATTGAGAGCACAGAGGTCCTCAGTAACGTGCCCTCAACTGCAGCTGCTGTAACAGTTTTATTTGGACTGCATGTGCTAAACCTCAAATTTCCAAAAGAACTGAAATTAACTATGTCGCCTCTGCACTCTGCTGCATTGTCAATGAATGACTGACAGCCTCCATTTCAGTACTTTGATGAACACACACACAGGATGGGAGAAACGCCTTTACCCCAGTCTCAACTACATCGTAATAGTAGTTCAGTAGTTGTTTGTTGTTTACTGAATGTGGCAATATCTATGTTTTGTATTTGATTTACATTTATTTCTTCTGACAAAAATTTCTGAGAGAACCAGACCAATTGTTTTTAGGTATTTGTTCTTTTTTCTTATTATTGTTCTTATGATATATTCACATTTTAATACTGCTATATATGAAATTCAATTTGAAATGAACTGATTACTTGAACTGTCTAAGAATTACAAGTGTAAGTTTGTTTTGCCAAAAAAGAGTCTAATCTTAAAAACAGTGATTTTCATTCAAGACTTAATAAATATTTAAAAGAACGTTTGATCTGACTCATTGATGTTATGCCAATTGTGAAGCCTTTTGTATTATTTGGAATGAATATTTCAGATTGAAGAAAACTCAATTTAGATCAAGTCTGCTAAAAACACTTTTTTTTATTTAAGCCAATTTAAAATAATGATTTACACCAAATTCAGAAAAGAGTTTGCATGAAATCAAGTCTGTTAAAAACCTTCTTTTTTCCATTTAAGCCAATTTAAAATATTGATTTACAACAAATTCAGAAAAGAGTTTGCATGAAATGCAGAAAATTAGTTTGAACTGAATGGTTTCTGAACATTAGGCCAATGTAAAATCTTTATTGTGAATGGTTACTTCAATTTTATTAGGTTAATCCAATGTTTCACTTTTTACAGTGCAGTATGATTCTGTCTTCATCAATTTGCTTACTGTAAACACAATGATCTGCTGAGTTCTGAACAAAATCATTTTCAATTAAAAAATCATTCAACATCTTGTTCCAATTGCGTCCAGATTGTTTCAGACCATACAGTGATTTATTGAGCTTACATACCAATTCTTCTCCTGTTCTGGACTTAACTTCAAATCCTTCAGGTTGCTTCATATAAATTTCACAATCTATAGGAGCATGCAAATATGCAGTTTTAACATCCATCTGATGTAACTCTAACTCATACTGTGCTGCAAGCTGCATTAAAACACGTACTGAAGTCATATCGGCAGTAGGTGAAAAGGTCTCATTATAGTCAATACCTGCCACTTGACTATAACCCTTTGCCACATACCTGGCCTTATACAATTCCCCATCAGGATTTTCCTTTACAGCATAAACCCATCTTCCTCCTACTGCCCGTTTACCTTCTGGTAGTGTTGTTAATGTGAACGTATTATTCTCTTTTAGAGAATTGATCTCATCCTTCATAGCCTCAACCCACTGCTCTGATTTTAAAGAGCCTAAGGCTTCCTTCAGTGTCTGAGGTACATCACATGCAATACGATAACAATAATCTATAGTCAATGGCTGATCTGCATCATCTTTAACCTCATAATCATAGTCTGCAAGGTGCTGAGGGGGTCTTCTTTCTCTTTTTGGATATCTAGTACTGAGATCATTCTCTTTTTCACCCTGTGTACTGACTTCATCCTTAACTTTCATTTCTTGTGGAATTATTTTGGTCTTATCTAGTTTTGGTACTAGGATCTCCTCCTCATGCTCCTCTGTCTGAGTATCTCTTTCATTTGTACTTTTTGTGACAAACTTCACCAGTCTACTTTTGAGTACTCTCCCTGTGTCTGGATAGAAAACAAGATAAGCAGGGCTATTCTTGTCATAACCAACGAATATGGCCTTCTCACATCTTGCATCCAACTTTTTCTTGTCATACTTATATGCATAACACTCTAAACCAAACACTCTCATTTTGGATAGATCAGGCTTCTTTCCAGTTACCAGATAGTATGGAGTTTGTCCCAGACGGCTATTATAACATCTATTTCTAATTATAGCTGCTGTCTGTACCGCATATGTCCACAACTCCTTTGGTAAATTACTCTCAATCAACATGCATCTTGCCATTTCAAACAAAGTTCTCCAAGCTCTTTCAGCTGTCCCATTTTGATGGGGTGAGTAAGGAGCTGAGGTTTCATGTCTTATAGCATTTTTGCTGAGCAATGTCTGAAATACATTAGATGTAAACTCGGTTCCATTATCTGATCTTACACATTTAATTTTACCATACGGTGCAACATCAGCAATGAATTTCTCGGTTGCTATGGCAGTGTCACTCTTGCTCTTCAAAAAATAGGTAAACACAGCTCCTGAATAGTCATCAGTGAATGCTAAGGCAAATCTAAAACCATCTTTTCCTGCTGGTTCTATAGGACCAGCCAGATCTGCATGAACAAGTGCAAATACCTCTTCTGCTTTCTCATCTAGATCTCTATTTCTGTTCTGAGCAAATTTGCCTTGTAGGCACACTTCACATTTCAAATTGGATCTGTCTATTTTACCTCTAATTTTCATCCCATCTGTAACACTCTCCAACTTTAAGACATCGTCATAATTACAGTGACCCAGTATTTCATGCCATGTCTGAATGTCGTAGCACGCATTACACTCATCAATCTCATTGTCTATAGTACTCAAGTAAAACAATCTGTCACACATATGAATATCAAAAGTTGTACCATTTTTGTGAATGAGTCGGTTCTGTCCCTCTTTGAAGATTACTGTCGCTCCGTGTGCAATTGCCGCTTTGACGGAAAAAATGTCTTGAGAAAATGATGGCACATAAAGTGCCTCAGTCAACATCATGTCCACAATGCGGCCTTTGTTATTTCTCAAACGCAATTTTGCAGTACCTTTCTTCAACGCGATACCACTGGCCCGTTCTCCATCAGCCAACTCCAGAATGTGGCTCTGAGGCTTGAAACTTGAGTCGAAATCCACGAACTTCTCAATGTCCGTAACAATGTGTTTAGTAGCTCCAGAATCCACCATGAGACCTTTCATTTCCACTCCACCAATCGGGACTTTATTCACCTGCTCCACCATAAACATAAATGTGTGGTCCTCCTCTTCATCCATCATTTGCTTCACTTTATCCCGCTTTCTTCGACGACAGTGCACGTCCCTGTGTGAGGTGCTTTTACAGAAACTACACCATTGTCTCCGTTCCCCGCGATCCTCAGCAACCACCGTGCACTCCGCGGCTTTGTGGCCTTTCTGTCCACAGTTGTAACAGGTGAGTCTCATACTCCAATTGTCTCTTCCTTTAATTTTCATTACGCTATCCACTACCGAACTTGCAGGCCCAAACTTCTCAGTGCTTTCATAGCTTCTCAGTTTAGCTTTAAAGTCGGCAAATGTTAGTTTTTCATCACTCTGCGTAATAAAAATAGAGAATGGTTTGAAAGTATCGGGTAAACCCTTTAGAATCATGGCAGTCAATAAATCATCGCTCAAAGTCTCTCCCGCATTCCGTAATGCTGTGATTGCGGTCTCCGCACGAATAATATAGTCCGTAACAGTTTCATTTTCACCTTTCTGAAGAGATGTCAACTCCGTATACAAACTTATCACACGTGGCTTCCCCTTTCCAGCGTAGTGATCTCTCAAAATCTGTAACGCCTTCTTGCCGTCATCAGCAGCCTCTCTCATCACAAGCGACAAACTCTTGTCATCTAATAATTGGATCAGCACTGCATATGCCTCTTCGTTCTTACTGTCTTCCACCTCCTCGTCCTCATCGCCCACGGCAGAGGCTTCACCCAATATGGTGGATTTCAAACCCAGAAGACGCAACTGTGCCAGGAACTTCGTTTCCCACAGTTCGTAATTCTTTTCCTCTCCGTCGAAATATAAACGACTCCATCGGATCCCATACTCTTTACTGGGCCCATAACCTGTTGGCGCTGCCATCTCAGTTAGAGCTAGGTAACCGGTAACATGACGAAGGAAGAACTTACAACTCAGACATGATCTGGCGTTTTGCCTGCACACCCTCACAATAGAGCGGCGGCTACTTTATTAATGATTGCACACCTGTGCATGTTACTCCGCCCACGTCATGATCACAGTCAATTAGAGAACACACAATTACATGGATCAACAGAACAGTTTAAGAATTCGTGAGTACAGTTTATAAACTGAGGGGACGGATTGCAAAACCGTCGCCTCGGATTGTTTTTTTTTTCCCCCACAGGTGACTTCCCGGGCTCCGTACTACGGTGTTTTTGCTTTGTTCATCAAGATCATGATACAGCACATTTTGTTATATTCTCTCTCTCTCTCTCTCTCTCTCTCTCTCTCTCTCTCTCTCTCTCTCTCTCTCTCTCTCTCTCTCTCTCTCTCTCTCTCTCTCTCTCTCTCTCTCTCTCTCTCTCTCTCTCTCTCTCTCTCTCTCTCCCTCTCTCTAACAGGAATGTGTTTCTGAAAAGGCCTACGGATATTCGTGAATTTGCAGCAGGTATTATTTTATAAGGCAGCAACTGTCACATATAATACAACCTAATGTGTTATCCGACACATTTGCACAACTTCTTGAAAATAACTTTGTAGGATATAATCTTCTGATAACATTCAGAATGTGTTTTTGTTTTATGTATTCGATTTTTTTTTAGTATGTAAATAGTCTTGTCTCTCACATAGAATAATTTATTGTTCTGAAAAGAAAAATTGTTGAGCTCAACAAAAAAATGTAATTTGAGCTAATGTTATCAAATACATAATACTTCTTATTTGAGTTTTTTTATAATAATAAATAATTGTAATAACTATTAATTGATTATTATGTGCACTATTATGTTAAATTATACTCTTAAATTAAGGCCAGCATATATCTCTCATTCTCTTTTTTTCCCCCCAGATCATTTCAGTGACCCAGGACTGTCAGAGAAAATTCAGGCCCAAATGAATATGCACAATAAGTGAAAAGTGTGGATTTACACTTTTGTTTTTTAATAAAAAATGTAAAAATGTGGGCCCGTCATGATCCCTCCGTGTTTGAAAGCATCTTTGTTGTACCTCTTTGTTATCAGCAACAATTAACGTGAATGTATCAGGGGAGAGGACAGTCCAGGCTTGTTTGCTAAATGAGTCCACAGGGATGAAAGACAAAATGGGCTGAATTGAACAAGTCTTTCTGTTCTTTAAGTATTTCCAGACATACTGAAGCTGACACTAATTACTCATTAATTATTTATATTACGTATTACCTTGATCTTTAGCATAAAATACTAATTTTAAACTACTCGTTTTCATTGAGTTTTTCATGGATTTGTCCTGAATTTGTATCTAGTTTAACTTAGCAGTCCCAATTAGTGCTGTTTTTCACATTTGGACGGTCAGTTTGATCTTTTTCGTCTTATAATTTATGGTTTGACTAACTGAGAAGTATTGTGCAACCATGTTTCTTTTTTTGGATTTAACAAGTCACCAGGGACCTAATAAGTCACTGCTCATTCACATAGAAACATCTAATTGTCCTCTCAAAGTAACATTTTACTTTAGTACAGTACATGGAACTCATTAACCCCAAAAACCTATATAATTAAGCATGTAATTAAAAAGCAGAAAGATGTGTTGAGTCTATTTAAAATAATAATCTCAACTGCTATAAGAGAAATTTGTGGCTTTATTAGTGGATGATTATTCAAAATCACACTTTAAGTTATTTAAAAATGGCCAGATGATGGAAAATCAAATCTTGACCCCACAAATTTGCAAATGCAATTTCATAGCTGTCACACCTGCATAGATAGTCTTCAAAATTCTGGGGTGGGAGGGGTTGAGAGGACATGAGAGTGGAAAATCATGTTGTAATGAATCTAGTGTGCACCTGTTCAACAGACTGTCAGCTTCAGTTAAACTTGTGTCGCAAGGTCTCGAGATCATCTCTCACAGTGAGTACCTTCATCACAGCTTTAGCCTATAATCTTGAACATCCTGGTTACCATTTTATTGCTTAGCTTATTTCTTTTAGTAATTAAATCATTATAATGATTAAATAATTAAATCACTAGTTTTAAAATTATATTGGTGATGCCCATGTTCACTGAAAGGTAATACTATTTCAATCGGTTTTTTTTTTTTTTTTAAGTAAAGCTTGTGAAGGACTCATTTCAGAATCAGATAAATATGCATTATCAGATCTATATACATTTGTTAAAATGTCTACTTCTGCAAGGATGATTGTACGTTATAAAAAGACAGGATAAATAAAAAGCAGGATCCATTGAGTGTCTATGTTTACTTGCTCTAACACCACCAAAATTAACTGTTTGTGTAACCTGATGTAGTCAGGATGATTCTGTTATATCAAATAATATTTTGGATGAATGCCAGTTAATTTACATGTAACCACATGAAGTGCACTTTTATGGTACTTTTCAACCCTTTTTTTAAACTAATGTTTTATTAAGGTTTAAGAATTAAGGGAGGGGTATTTAATAGACACAAACCCTTGTTAAAGAGCAATCTTTGAGAGAAAACATACAGAAGGAAAATGTATGAAAAGACATGTAATTTAAATGGTTCATTTACTATGAGGCAGACTAAAAAAGCAAAATATAAATCTGGGCTCAATTAATTAATTGAAAATATTCTTTGGAGCAACATAATACTCTAGGGCAAAAACAAATATTCAAATGAAAGGAAACCCAATCATCGGTAAAATTGCACTGATTTGCCTTGTCATACAGCTGGGTCAGAAGTAAAGGCTGTTTTTCTCTAGCTGTATTCCAGTGAGAGTGATCTCACACTGGCAGTATCCTAGCACTCATCCCAAATCCTCACAGGTAGATGTGAGAACGATACATGCAGTTCCTGAGAGTCATTGGCATGCCTACCAAAACCATAGTGACACTGGAACATCTATCCAAGTTTATGTGAGAACAACACATATAGCCTACAACACTCAGGGATGCTTTAAAGCAGGAGGAGACTGGTATGGTTTTGTTTTTTGCATTAAAATGATAAAATAATTACATCATCTCCATCATACCTTTATTTTAATGTACTGTTAATATTCCCAGTGACTTTCTATCCTATTATTTTGTAAGTATTTTATTGCTATTCAAATATCATGCCTATGCATAACATAAATGATTTGAGTATCTACAGTTTATTTTTGTTCTTGCATGTTTAAATAATGCAAGCTATGCAAACATTAGTGCAACTGAATGGAACTGTTTTGCGTGTAATCAGATACGTATGTCTGGATTGTCAACGCGTGATTCACCTGCGTCCGATGACATTACAGATAATAAAGCTGTCACTGATATCTAGATACAGTATATGCAGAAGAGCATTACCCAATATGATTATTTTTAATGTACGTGTGGGTTCATTGCAATGCGATGAATTCATTGAAATCTTCTGAATTCATATTGTCTATAGAGCCTCATCTGGAGAAAGAGAACGGGGAACAACGTGATGGGATTTTATAGAGAGGGTTTGGTCCTCTCTCTTCTGGTCCAATGGGCGACAGGTAAAAGTTTAATAGTATCACACTTTTTAAATGTAATAATTTAAATCTAAAATAGAGTTTTGTGAAGCTTGTTGGAGTATAACAAGCAACAAAACGTGATTAATTTAATCATAAATGTTCTGTGTGTACTGTTTTGTTATTCTATACAGTAATGTCCCAGGGTGTGATGGGACCAGTGATGCCTGATCGTAACCAGTCAACAATAGACTTTCCCAAAATACCGGCAGACTTCCGGGAAATGGCCAAGAAATTGGTAACTTAGTACCACAAGATCATTGGTTGCATCTCATACTGATAACACTAGTAGGGTCAATAGGTGTTTCCTCAACTATTGGCACTACTGAAACACTATTTTCTCAACCAAAAATGTTTTTTGAGTAAAATCACTGACTGTTTTGTCATGCTGCATGAGGCTAATTCATATTATATGTCCTTAACAGACACAATTAAAAAATATTTTTACATTTTTTGCACAATTTAACAAAGTTACAGCTTGATTAGAAAAGATGCCCTGCCCAATAGAATATTATCTTCACTGTGACTCTGTGGTAAGGCAAGGAGAGGAGATGAGGATGTATGCAGCCTGTACTTTTATTAACTGAAATAACAAGAATAAAAACAGGAATCAAACAGGAGAAGGCAACATAAAGACAATACTTAACTGAGAGCTGAGGAAACTGAGGGCATTAAATACAAAGGTAAATAAGTATTTAAACAAGACACAGGTGATGATAATTTATAGAAACAAATTAGCAACAGGAACCAAGAGAACAAAGGAAAGAGGAACTAAACACGGTAAATAAGAACATTTACACTAAGAGTAACAGGAACAAAAAAAAAAACTACAACAACAACACAGAACATGACATTCACAAGCTATATTAGCTCTATACAAGCTATATTGATCACATACCTTTGTTTCCATCACATGACTTGTTACATGAATCTTTACTTAACAGTCTTGTTTTGAAATAAAGATCATTTAAAAATATTTGGATAACGTAAATATTTACATAAATAATTTTCACTCAATAAACATTGAAATGTTTTTTTGTTTTGTTTTGTTTATTTTACACTGTTTGGATTATCTTCATTTAAATTTATATTTTAATGATGGATTTTCATGTTTAAATATTTAAAGTCTGGGTCTTGAAATTGTTCACAAGTCACCAACAATACATTTTTGTGTGTGTGTGTGTGTGTGTGTGTGTGTGTAAGTCTTATTCAGAAGAACAAATTGCACTTTCCACTTACATTGTTTTATAATTTAATAATTATGTTTTATTTTATTTTTTGACAGATGATCACATGCTTCAAGAAAGGTAAAATGTCAAAAGGCATACACGCACATTTGCCATTATCTCTTAGTTTGAACACATTTGGCCTTACACAAATTATGAATCAAAATGACTTATGTGTTGCACCTGCATGTACTTAATAAAATCAATTATGTAGAGAGCTATATTACACAAACCATATGCAAATACAAGTGCCCAAGGAAACCGTATAGGATATATTTGCATATTTCAGCTGGAAAAAAAGAAGTTCCATTCGAGGTCTCCCACGCACGCCCTGAACAAAATGTATTAATCTAGACATCATAATCTACTAATCTTTCATCATTAATCCAATTTGATATTTTAGTACAGTACAATTTGATAGTCAGATTGTAATTCAAGTTTCTCAAATGTTTTTCCTTTTGTTTCCAGTCATAAAGAGAGAGTGTTTGTCTTTCTCTGTCATGCATTGTGTCTTTTGTTAAATGATGCGGTTGTTTTGTTTTAGGTTACCATGTGCCTGTAATGAACAATTCACTGAACAGGTAGACTGCCACTGAACTGATGATTTGTTGCCAGGTGTATATTTGAATACTAATGATCACATTTCATTGCATGGAAAACGTCCACATATTTTCCCTTTCATCTGTCAGCTCATATGCACAGACACAAAACCAGATGATGCAGAGCCCCATCTCTATGTTTGTAGAGCTTCTCTCCTCACTCCCTCCATCCTTCTCCATCCCTCGCTCCAATCAGTCCAATGACACGGCAGATGAGAAGGGCCTAGTCTGGGTAACTCTCACTATTCCAAACACACTCATATGGTAGCTTTCTAACTGGGGCTTCCAATTGACTTCTTTTGATGTTAAAGACACTTAGTTACTACAAGACTAACTCTCACCCAAAGCCTAATCCCAACCCAACAATACAACATTTTGCTACTTTAGAAAAGGCACTTTGTGAACCATTCATAGGGTTCTTTCATAAGTGATATAGGGACATTGTTTGGCAAATCTACATACATACAAAGAGATACAGGAAGATACTAATATATCTTTTTTCTACCTTTATTTTATGTTCATCCTGATGGGAAATCTACAATAAAATCAGGACATTGCTGAGAAGATGCAGAATTGCACCAACATGGGCCATATGATTGAGCTCATGAGAAACACTACGGTTAGTGCTAGAACATATATAATATAATATAATATAATATAATATAATATAATATAATTAATATAATATAATTAATATAATATAATTAATATAATATAATATAATATAATATAATATAATATAATATAATATAATATAATATAATATTCTTTCTTACATTTGCACACTCAGGAGAGCCCTCGTTGTTTGTTGCGGGCATTCGTGGCTCCTCTTTCCTGGATGGCCATTATGCAGAATGGAACATCCCTCAACAAAGAGGATCTAACAACGCTTTTATGGGCAGCTAAACCTTTCTTAGAAACAATGCCTGCATCTAGCTTTGTTCTGCCAGCATTTTCACAAAGCTCTCACTTGGCTGAAATGTAAATGTATTCCTTTTTATTAAACTCAAGTGACTGAACTTATGGAATACCTTTACCTTAATCTATAATGTTAATGTAAAATGTTGTTTCCCTGTTTGTGTCTGTCATCTCACCTCCCTCATTATGCTCAAGGATGAAGGTGTTTAGTGAGATGTTCAGCATTCTGTCTGAGGAACAGAGGAATGAGATTATAGGGTGGGTCAAAGAAAGAGTTGCACAAAATGAATTTAACTGCAGTCTGAAAGCACCTGCCTCCAGCATCCTGCCTCCTAAACCACTGGAAAAACCTACCATGCGTAAGTTTTGAGTAACCTATAAGCTTTTATCAAAACAGATTTGAATCATTATAAATGTGATGTGATGTGATGTGATTGATGTAATGTAATGTAATGTAATTTACTGTAATACAATATAATATAATATTAATGTATGGTTAATCTAAGACACAAATAATCTGTTCAACAATTCTCTTGACTTATGTAGCAAATGGCCATCAGTCTATGATGAGCAGACCTGGTGCTGAAGCAACTGACCATCCTGCAATGAATGGTAAATTGGATAAAAGTGGATGAAAGAACTGAAAACCAAAAAATAATGGAATGGCAAACTGTTGAAGAGGTAGAGAGGAACATTGGAAAAGAAAATATAGCAAATACAGAGACAGAAAGGCGTGTGGTGTAAAGATAAGAGTGTTATATGGAGAACTGCAATGATACAGTGGATCATAAACAGAAGAGTGGAAAACACCAAAGATAAACAATACAGATATATGAAGAGAGGAGAATTATTAATTACATTAAAATTGTTATAATTAGTTGTTTGATTACTTTTATATTATTAAGTTATTTTGTTTATTTCTTTATTTATTTACATTATTTTTTTACTTAGAGAGTGCTTTGCAAGCAATCACTCATCATTTGTCTGTCTGTCTCTTTTTCTTTGTTATTTTATCTTCAACTGCAGTCCGTAGATGTCCTCCTGGGTTTCTCTGGCTGAAGGCTAGGATGTTAGCAATGATGGGGCCTTTCCTATCCCGGCTGCCTTTTGAGGAAGTAAAGACCATCCCTAAAGAAGAGGTCTGTGTCTGTGACATGACATGCAAACCAATATCATAACTCTTATATGTATTGTTCCATGGTATTTGTGTCTCAGAGCCAGCCATACTAACATAATCTAAATCCAAAACTACATATTACTCAACAAATTTAATGACTATGATAATCTTTCTCTTTCTCAGCTATGTGAGTTTTTCAGGACTCCAGATTTCTCTCCATCTTTTCATAATGTTATTGGCATACAGCCCGCCCTGGGCCGGACACTTTTTCAACGCTTGAAACAAGAGTGTTCCAGCACTGACAATTTCACTCAATACGTGGACAGGTTAGGATCTGCATCATTAGTGTGTGTTAAGTGCATGTCTTTGGTAAATGATATTCAAGTTAAGTGATACACTGATTCCTCTGGAGGCCATTGCAGCTCCATGGTAAAAATAAAAAGGTAACTGTGTGATTAAAAATTTGAAAGTTTAAAATAAGAAATAAAGTCTTATTGTGAGACAGTCACACTGTGAGAAATAAAGTTGCAATAACAAGAGATATATAGTTGCACTGTCATACAGAAAGTCCCATTGTGACATTGTCACAATAACAAGAAAAAAGTAGAAATTTGTTATAAAAAGTTATAAAATGTATACAATATGTCACACTTATGAGAAACAAAGTCGCAGTTTCAAGATATAAAGCCACATTGTGAAATGTGAAATGAAGTTGCAATTACCAAAATAAAGTCACATTGTGATATATAAAGTCAAATTTGTAATAAACATAGTCACAATTGTGAGACATAGTCACTGGCCACTTTATTAGGTACACCTTACCAGTACTGGGGTTGGACGCCCTTTTGCCTTCAGAACTAGCATAGATTCAAGAAGGTGCTGGAAACATTCCTCAGAAATTTTGGTCCATATTGATATGATAGCACATCCTTGATCCCTTTTCCACCACATCTCAAAGGTGCTCTTTTGGATTGAGATATGTTGACTGTGGAAGCCATATAAGTATAGTGAACTCATTGCCATGTTCAAGAAACCATTCTGAGATTATTTAAGCTTTGTGAAATGGCACGTTATCCTGCTCGAAGTAGCCATCCGAAAATGGATACACTGTGGTCATAAAGGGATGGAGATTGTCAGCAATAGGCTGTGGCTTTTAAATGATATGCAATTGATACTAAGGGACCCAAAGTGTGCAAGAAAATATCCCGCACACCATTACACCACCATCAGCAGCCTGAAGCGTTGATACAAGGCAGGATGGATCCATGCTTTCATGTTGTTTCGTTGCAACAGAAATCGAGACTCCTTAGACCAGGCAATCAGACCAATATTCGATTGTCCAATTTTATTTGTGTCTGTGTGAATTGTAGCCTCAGTTTCCTGTTCTTCAGGAGTGGCACCCAGTGTGTCTTCTGCTGCTGTTGCCCTTCTGCTTCAAAGTTCGATGTGTTGTGCATTTAGCGATGCTCTTTTGCATACCTTCGTTATAACAAGTGGTTATTTGAGTTACTATTGCCTTTCTATCAGCTCGAGCCAGTCTGGCCATTCTCATCTGACCTGTCATCAACTAGTCATTTTCACTCACAGAACTGCCGCTCACTGGATATTTTTTTCTTTTTCAGACCATATAAAGCCTAGAGATGGTGGTGCATGAAAACCCTAGATCAGCAGTTTCTGAAATACTCACACTAGCCCATCTGACACCAACAACCATGCCATGTTGGTGCCACTTAAATCTCCTTTCTTCCCCTTTCTGAAGCTCAGTTTGAACTTCAGCAGATCGTTTTCAGCAGTCGAACAGGTGTACCCAATAAAGTGGCTGGAGAATGTAAAGTCCCATATGAAATATAAAGTGAGATATAAATTCCCTTTGTGAAATATAATGTCGCAATTGTTTAAAACAAAGTTGTACAATAAGTCACATTGTGAGGTATCAAGTGGCAATAATGTTTATAGTTTATTTTTTAGTCCATGGATTCCCCCTTACTCTACATGGAAGAACATCTTCAAAACATTCAATCCTGTTTCGTCAACTTCTTTCTGTTTTCACAGATTGGGCTCTCTGGCTTGTTTTTTTGATGGCGCAATGTCTCTGAATCTGAATCTTAGTAGAAAACTGCTGTCTCAGATTGATGCCTGTAAAAACTCTGAAATAGACAAGGTCAGAACTGCCACTTTATTGAATCATTGCTGCTCCTAAATATTTGTAGCGTAACTGTAATCTTATTGTAATTTCACTCAACCCACCCTCAGGTGAAGAGGCAGTTAGTACAGAACATTCTGGAGAAAGATGATGGCTTTTCTTCCTCTCCTGGTATGCTCCAGTCTCTGGGATCCTCTGTGTCTGTTATTCCACTTTCCAGGCTGTCCCGCTTCACCCCTGAGGACCTGAACAACACCCTCAGCAGCTTGAGTCAGGCCAAATGGAGCCCAGCTCAAGCTAAAACTCTGGCTCAGAAACTGTTAGAAGCTACAAAGGTTTGATTTTTCGCTCAGTTTATACAAGCTGTTTTCTGTTTCTTGATTCACCCATTTATTGTATTCACAAGGAGGTTTTCTTTTGTAGATTATAAGTAGTGAGAGGCTGCTGTCTCTGGGTTCGATGGTGAGAGGGGTGGCCAGTGCCGTCCTCAAGAATGTGAAGGCAAAAGGTCTGCTGGGAAATGAAGCCCTGGAAACTATGAGTGAGAAGATGTCCTCCCTACAGAGAGCAACATTACTGGAAGCGGTAAGAATCAGATGAGTTTGTTCAGAAAGAGATGTAAAAGATAAGGAGAAAGAAACTCTTATTACGGCTTTTCACACTGCACTTAACCCCGGGTTATCATCATTCTACACACTGCTTTTTATCTCAGGTAAAAGCAATGTTTTACACTTGTAATTTAGAACTGGGGTTAGCACAGCTTTTTACCCTGGGTTATGAAACCCTGCTCCGGAGCAAGGTTAGCACTATTGAGGTGTTGAACCTGCACTGCCAAACAATGCGGTGTTATAATGTTACCACTAGATGCTTAATAGCAACCGACAAGCAATATCATACCTCATATTCACATGCTTTGGACAGAAACACTATGTGTTGTATAAACTTAGCGTTTGAGGGGAGATATGTCAAAAGGTGACAGAAAACAATTGGAGTACAGAAGAGATTGTTTTATTCTTATGTTTAAAGTCCAAAAAGTCAGGATAAACTTGATAGTACCGTACGGTCTGCAATATTATGAGAATGCGCAATGCTTGAGTCTTCATGTAAACATATCACGTTCAGCGTTCGGCCAATCAGTGACACTGACACCACAAATATGCAAATAAGAACATTAAACCAGGTGTTGCAATGTTAAAGGTTCAGGGAAGAAGGAGGCGGGAACCAGCAAATGTTCAACATAAACTTCAATCATAAAATAAACAAACACCAAAATGAAAGTAACACAAAGCAACAACATAAAGTCCCAGGCCTGGTCCTCTCTCGTCCTTTACTGTCACCACTCCTCCTTTTATCCTTCCAGACCTCCTCCTTGAGACTCGAGGCCATTCACGCCACTGGCCTCACTCCGTTCCCAAGGAGGAAGGAACCGTGTGAAAAGACATTTTAGGAATACCCAGGTTTAATTGTTGACCCCAGGTAAATTATGGGTCATGTGAAAAGTGAAGGAAGATAACCCAGGATTCCATTTAACCCGGGGTTTAGAATGACTCAGGGTTAACTATTTCAAGTGTGAAAAGCTCTATTGCTTGCAAATTGCAAGTGACCACAAAAGTATTAATGAAAGTTGTTATGGCTCTTCCTTGAGTTTTCTCTCTCCCTCTCTCTTGGTCTTGTCAACTCCTCAGTTCCGCCGTGATGTGAACGCATCTGAACTGGTGAAAGGCTTGCCAGATTCTCTCCTCTCTTCTCTGTCTCTGTCCACGCTGGAGAAGGCAGACCTCAGCTCGGTGGACCAGCTACAGGGACGCGGCTGGACTCCTGCTCAAGTACACAAACTAGACAGTCATATAAAAATACAAATCTATTACAATTCCATACATTTTTGTCTATTTTTTTTCCTCTCTGTATAGTCTGCTTTCCTTTTGAAGAAGATTTTGGGTAATAAGATCAACCTTAGCGAATTACGGTAAGACTCTTTATGATTGCAGCCCTTAAAGAATCATTTTTAAATTGGAGAGAGAAAATCTTAAATAAAAAAATAATAATAACTAAATGAAAATGGTAATAAATAAATTTAAATCCCTCTTATGAAACTGGCACTGTACATAAAAATAAATCCCTCTTATTTTTTAATAGGTCTTTTATAAAACACATATTTAATAATAAAAATGTATGTTGTCCACATAAGAAGCAGTATCTTGATCAAGCTCACGGTGTTTTCAACAGAAAGCTGGGTCAGGCTGTGCAAGGTGTCACCTGTGAAATGATTGGAAAAATCAATCGAACTGATGCTTTGGATATGGCACAGACACTTAACAAATCCTGTGCGTGGCTCTCCAGGGTTCAGGTAAACATCACATATTCATTTACTCAACACACATTCTTTCATCATCTCTGCCACTTTTCAATGATCAAATCTATAAAAAACTGAATTGTGTGTTTTTTCATTCTCAGATTCGCTGTGCAGCTCAAAAACTCTTTGCAAGTCTGGAGGAACAGAGACCAGGATATTTCAGTGACATTAAAAACTCTGAGCTCCAGGCCATCCCAGCTCTGCTACTCATCCATCTACCGTAAGAACAGAACAGTGCTATTTAACATACATTTACATTTAAATTTTTACTAATTATTCAATTTATACTAAGTTGAAATCATATGCTAAGACAGGCGGGATATTCTTTTCTTTCATTTTCCCCTCTCACACGTATCCATACTGTCATGACACGTTCAGAGTGGAGAAGATTCAAAACCTGTCAGATGCTGTGTGTCCTGCTTTCATGGAGAAGATGACGCAAGTGAACCTGACCTTTCTGCCAAACAGTTCTCCGGCACGCTACGCTCTTACCAGAAGAGCCATTGGCTGCCTGGTAAAACACGCACACGCTTTTCTTCTCATGTCTAAAAACCCCACATGTTACTATTTGCAACCCATTTCACTGCTGTAATGTGATGCATTTCTGAGTAAAACAGGATATTCAACCAGGAAAAATGTAGGGTGGGACTTATCCATCATGAATTGATTTTATGGTGTGCATTATTACCAGAATAAAGTCAGACTTAATGTGAGTTTGTGAAAAAAAAGAAGAAGAAATAAATAAATATATATATATATATATACTGTATATATAAATGTGCTAGGCTAAGTGGCCATTCACACAGAATGCATTTAGCATTTCACTCCACTGCTTTTCATGGATTAAAGCAAAAAAACAAAAAAAAATCATTTTCTGACTAAAAACTTAGTATTGTAAAAAGGTTATGACACCAAGATTTTAGATACCAGTGAAATTTCTCAATTCTCGATTCCAATTTCAATACCTAAGCAAAAACTATCCTGACTAATATAAAGTTCAAATATTATTAAAGACAAGTAAATTGTGCATAATAAAATAAGATTAACGAATTACAAATAAATGTAACAGAACAAAGATACAAATTAAATAAACAGTCAAGTTTAAGTTTTTCAGGTAGATCAACAGTAATCAGGCATACAGAAATTGAATAATCAAATGTAAGTAAGTCTTGTATGTAAGTGTATAAATGTATGTAAGTAAGTGTTTTGATGCTGGAAAAGTGGAAAAAGATATTCCTGACAGGAACTACTGCAGGCAGCCTAATCTGTGTCCTGTTTCTGTGCAGAAGGGGAATGTCTCTGATCTGTCTGCAGCAGAGGTTTTGACTCTAGGCCCTCTGGTGTGTGAGTTAGACCCAGCCTGGATCTCCTCTCTGAACCCCGCGGCTCTGAACTCCACCCTGCAGGCTCTCGCCTCCTGTCAGTATATCCAACAACAGCACAGAGAGCATCTGTTCAGCCTGCTTACAGGCACATATGGGTAACAGCATCACACAAACCACAGTGGGTTCACACAGCCCACAATCTCACACATAACTTCAGACCTCAGATCTCACATCCTTGCTTTTTTTTTTCCTCATTGTTAAAGAGGCTATGCCTGTTGTGGCTTTAAGACAAGAGCATTTTAAACATTTGGAAAAAAAAGTCTTTACATTGAACAACCAACTTTTTCCAGCCTTAAAACATTCAGCTGTGCTGGAATTAGACATTTTGGATTGGTGTTAATAATATATTTGTCTTTTCATTTAAACAAGGGACCCTGCTTACTGGTCAGAGGTGGACATGAGGGCACTTGGTCCTCTTTTGTTACTTAATGACACTGCTGTTGAAAAGCTGCCATTCAAAGTAAGAATCTCATTTATTTATTTTACAGGTGATTTTTTTTTATCTACATTTAATACATATAAATTAATTAATAATTGATTCCTTCATTTTATTTTGAATGGCACTTTTAGTCCTCCATACCATAACAGATGTGTTATTTATAACTGGCAGATGTTATTTCAGTTAAACGGACAGTTATTTTTCTCCACAATCTTACAAAATTATTTTTTATTTTATTTTTTTATTTACCAATCCACCCCTCCATCCTGCTCTTCTGTCCTGCAGAGCTGGCTGAAGTCATATCTGTCAGATCTGATGGATAGTTTGCCCAGTCAGCCTGTTGTTCCTCCTCCAAAGGAATTCTGCTCTTGGCTTGATCTCTCTGCTCTTCGCCGCAAACTTTTTGAGCTCAAAACGAGCAGCACATTACAAAATCGCAGGAAGCGTGAAGGTATGTGTGCCAGAAAGTGCATAATGTGGTAGAGAAACAATGTCTTTGTGAAACCAGACAGTTAATGATATATGTTCTATTGTTCTCAGAGAATAAACAATAGTGGAAATGATTTTATCTTTCTGGCAGTGGCGGTTTCTCTCACAGTGATGTCTACTCTAGAGCCTACACTCATTTATATTGAGGACCTAAAACAGGGAAATGTATACTGGACTCCCACCCAGCTCAGTAAAATGACCATGCAGACTTTTAAAGATGCCGTGCCAACATTAGGAGAGATAAACAACTACAGCACAGAACAATTGGCTGCACTCAAAGCAAAAATTGTGGAGGTACACACACACACACACACACACACACACACACACACACACACACACACACACACACACACACACACTTTAAGGTTGCTAAAGTCTAGAAAAAAAAATTACATTTGTAATATATGCACAACAACAGAATCTAAAAATGATATTTACATCTGGAATGCAGTGGTCAAAGACAATGTCTATTGTTTATTGCAGGCATGGGGTAGTGTGTCCATGTTGAATGAGTCCCAGATTACTCAACTGGGCTGCATCTGCCAGGGTTTCAGTGCTGAAGAGCTGGGCAACATCAGCATCACCTCACTGGACACTCTGGAAGTGCTGACTGCCTGCAACTTTACCCAGACACAGGTAATACAAACAAGCACACATTCAGTCACCAAACAGCATCTAGAATTTATATATAAAACATGGTAAAAAATGCTATGAAAGAAGCATATGTATTTATTTATTTATTCACACTACCATTCAAAAGTCAGCAAGAAATAATTTTTTTTATTCACTGAGGATGCATTAAACTGATCAAAAGTGATATTTTTTCCTTTTCAAATAAATGAACTTGTTCATCAAAGAATCATGAACAAAAAATGGTATCACAGTTTTCACAAAATACAGCACAATACTTTTAAACATTGATAGTAAGAAATGTTTCTTGAGCACCAAATCAGCAAATATAAAATATGATTTCTGAAGGATCATGTGACACTGAAGACTGGAGTAATGATGCTGAAAACCAGTTATTTGAAATTGTAATATTTTTCATAATATTACTGTTATTACTGTATTTTTGATCAAATAAATGCAGCCTTGAAAGATTGTTTTAAAAAATATTGTAAAATCTTACCAACCCTAAACATTTGAATGGTAGAGAATGTATTTATTTATTGGTATTTAGCATAGAATAAATATATACAAAAAAAATGCAAAAACAAACATAAGCAAAGCAGAAAACCAAACAAATACTAAAAGTGATGGATTCTGCAGAGGACAGCCATCTGGCAGGCTTTTGAAAGGGTGACTGGAATCAGCGTGGCTGGACTAGGGCATCTGGAGATGATGGGACTGGGACAGTTTATCTGTGGTCTACAACCTGCCCAGATTGATCAGCTCAATTCCACCAGCTTTAGGTACTTGCACATTTGTGGCTATATTTTCATTTTCAAGTACACTGCAGCACAACATAGCTACTGTTAAGCAAATACTGTAAACAGACCTGGTCATTGTGATGCCCTGTGATATGTGTCTTTACTAGGGAGGCAGTAGAGGCGGTGGGCCGTGCTTCTTGTCTTCTGAACGTTAGAGAGCGTCTTAAGGAAAAGGCAGTGGCTGCATTTGGAAAGCCAGAAACTTGGACTGAAGCTCAAGTTAGTGAGATGGGCAACATCCTTGGTGAGGACAACTACTTTAAGTTTAATAAGTAAATAGTTTACATTTAAAATGCAAGAACTGCCTTTGTCATTGAATGTCTCTCTAGCTGGTCTAAGCACTGTTGAGCTGGGACGTCTAAATTCAACCGTCTTGCCATTCATTCAGCGGTCCGCCATCCCTCTCATACCCTTAGATCGCCTAGCTGTAAGTTTTCTCTCTTTTTTGCAAACTTATTTTTTATTTAGCTCCTGGTTCAGTTATTATCACATATCTTATGTTCACACATCAGTTCTTAAAGGTGCAGTAAGTGATTTCTGAGAAAAGCTGTTGCAAGTAGATCGGACTGAGAACCACAACACACTTGTAGCCAATCAGCAGTAGGGGGTGTGTACACTCATACTGGGGGAGGAGAGAGAGTGAGCAAGAGGGAGATTTGAAGAAAGACTGTAGAAAGAGCTGAGAGACTTAACAAAAGAGAAAAAATCAGAGGAATATCACTGGAAAAAGAAGGGATATGATCAGGCAAGAGCTTTAGGAGGACCTGCGTTAATATTAGAAAAGCTTTCCAGCGCTGGAGAGACCTGAAGGCCTGAAAACCAATGCAGAGGTTGCGTTGTTTCTGCTCCATACATGATTAACATGGTTTTGAGTGTCATTGTTTGTCTGGAGCTGGTGTGCTGCTGGCGACTAACAACAAACTCTTGCTTGTATATACTCTTGTGTACTGTATGTTCATATTTTGTTCCTTGTTGTTTGTTTGTTATCTTTGTTTTGTTTTCACAAAATATTGTTTTGTTTGGGTTCATTTCAAATATCAACAGTGTTCAACAATGTTTCTCGAAAATCGCTTACTGCACCTTTAATTGAGTTGATCTGTAAGTCAAGTCAAATCCCCTTTATACAATACAGATTGTTTCAAAGCAGCTTCACAGTGATAAACAAATAATGATCTTCATCAAATATGAGAAAAATTCAATCGCTGCTGTAAAGCAGCTCTAAAAAGACAATGGTGTCATTATTCAGCTGAAGTTGGTTCAGTGTTGATTCAGTTCAGTTCAATAACTGTGTTATGAAATTAGTTATATTCAGCTATAAGCAGGTTAACAGAAGACAAAAGTGCCATTATTCACTTTGAGTAAGTTTAGTTCAATTTAGTTCATTAACAGTGTCGATGTTGCAAAATTAATGAATTATGAAACAAAGTCGAATCAGCTATAAAGCAGCTCTGCAGAAAACAGTGGTGTCATCCAGCTCAATTCAGTTCAGGCCAGGGTTAGCTCTCATTCAATAATAATGGGCGAATTCCAATCGGAAGTGAGCATCCATATGCCTTACTCATTTTGAAGGGCAGAGATTTTGAAGTAGGGACTTTGGAGTTAGCAGGGCACTTGATTGTCATAATGTAGCCGTTTGGAAAGCAATTGGTGAAGGGAGCAATGAAAGACAATTTAATGTCCTCAATAAATTGCATACTTCCCTACTATATAGTAGGAGAAAAACAGCATGTGACAAGAGTACTATGTCCGAATTCATGGTACTCATAAAAGAGTTGGCAAAAAGTACCCAGATCACCTACTTCTTCCGATGAGATTCTGAAGTGTGTAAACGATACATGAGACCACGGGAGAGGTTTTGTGAATGTCAGTGATGACGTAACTGACACTGGTAGGTCCAATGATAATGACAACATGGCGAATGTAGTACATCCGGATTACATTCGTACTACACTACACACACGCATACTATATAGATCTTAATTTTTTAGCAATTGATAAAATTACCCTTTCTCTAACAGACTTGTGGAAGGGCCCTTCGTGAAGGGATTCACATTTGTTTGAAATGCCCCTCAAATGGCATCCCCTTCCCTCAGTGGCCATTAAGGGTGCAAAAACGCCATTTGGAATTTGCCTAAAGAAGTTACTGTTATAATTTGTGTTCAGGCAATGTCAGTCAGCCAGTTGAAGGCTTTGGGTCCTGAAAATGCTGCCATGGTCACGGAGGCTCAGCGCGCAGGGCTGAGAGTCGATCAAAGGTCTGCACTGGATGAAGCCGTGGGACTGAAAACTGCACGTGCTGAAGTGTCCACTGGAAACTCCAGTCCAAGCTCCAGTGGATCAGTCCCAGTTGCCCCACTGCCACTAAAAGGAGGCGAGTGACAGGAGAAGGTTTTAGGGGGAGGGGGATCTTCTAGATAAAGATTACATTTGGATCTTTTAGTTGCATTTTTATTATAAAAACAATTGTAGTCTTAAATTTACAGATATGTTTCTCTTCCTCCTCCAGACGCAGCAGTAGAGAGCATGACAGGATGTGTCCTCCTCATGCAGGCCATCCTGCTGATGTTACTTAGATACATTCTCTAAGAAGAAGAAGGGTCAAAGGTCACAGATATAGCATGTGTCAGATGGCAGATTCACATGATAATGTAAACCAGTAGATTAGTATCTGGCCATTTAAGAATTGCTATATTTCAAAATTATATTTAAAACGTAGTCACTGAATGCACATTTTAACTTTAAAATAAAGCCAAATATAGTATGCTGAGGCAGGGGTTTGATAAGACTGGGGTCTATCCCATTAAATGTATTTTATAGAGAAACTATATTTGATAATACTGCTGTTTAGATATTTTCACATCCAGATTTATTATTATTCTGACATATTTAATACTGTGCATACTTCATTAAATTGTAGTTTTGTTATCAAATTATTTAATTCCAGTTAAATGTTTGTATTAGAGGTTGTGTTCTTTGGTAGCATCATTCGAATCATTTATACCCCAACATGAGGTTAATAAAAGTCTTATGTGTAAAGAGAGTAAGTGTGAAATTTGAATACAGTCAAACCAGAGACTTTCACACCCTCAGGTGGTGTAACAGACTCACCAGTTTACTTCTGATGACTTTAAGTTCATACCAACCTTACTTCAGGTGCACAGGCCACAAAATTGTGTGATTTGTCTCACCTACTTTGTCTTTGTCTACTCTTGTCGGCTAAAAGACAAGTTATGAAAATTATTCAAAATGGATAGTACGCCTCATTTATCGTCAAAGAGCTCAGGCTGAAATGGAAAAACATTTGGTCTTTCACACTTCCAGATCCCTTGCAAATATCAAGAATTGCAAAATACATACCATTCAGTTTGGGGTCAGTAAGGTTATTATTTTATTTTATTTAAGAAATTGATACTTTTATTCAGCAAGCACACAGGAAATCAATAATCACAGTAAAGCAAATAATGATAGTAAAGACTTTTACATTCTTACGAAAAACTATTTCAAATAAATACTGTACTTTCTATTAATAAAATAATTCTGAATTTTTTTTTTTTTTTTTCACAAAAATAATAAGCAGCATGACTGTTTTCAACACTGATAATAATAGGAAATGTTTCTTGAGCACCAAATCATCATATTAGAATGATTTCTGAAGGATCATGTGACACTGAAGACTGGGCCTTTAGTGTAGGTTAATGAAAAACAAGTAAATGAGATTTCAATAAATCCTTTTGAATATTTCAGATAATCTACAGATTTTTGTTTCTGGAATCTGGGCTACAATGTATATCAGTATTACAATAAGTAGCTTCCAAGTGAAGTGATTTAGTTTGTATCAGTTGTTTATAGACAGTATAACAGGACATCGAGAAATGATTTAGCCATTATTGTTTTTTTTTTATTTATCTCAACAAAATCGATATGAAACAACCAAAAAAGGGAGAATGCAAGAGGTTACATTACAACAAAGCTCTATTAATCATCTTTACAAAGAAAACCAGAAGACAATGTGTAAGGCACCAATAAAACATAAGTCCAGCACAAACATAAAAAATATAAATTTTTAACTCCATCACACACACACACACACAACAAATTCCTCCCAGTGAGGAAATGATCATCTGAGGCCTTTAAGTGTAATCTTGTCTTAAAGAATCTTAAGACTAAATGAAGAAGGCACTTATTTCGTTCTCATTCTAAAGATCAGCAACTATTCAGCAAGTTTCCTGATTTGAATCTATGGACACACAAATAGAAGAAATACAGACATTAAACATAGAAATAATGATTCAAGCACAAAGGAGTCACCTGATTCGGGATCATTTGGCTAAGCTAAACCGTTAGTAATTACAGTATTTTATTTATAGTAAGCTGCATTTTGCATTAGAGAAACGGACTGTGTTTTTTTGGTTGCACAATGGAATCAGTAGGCACAGAAATATAGCAGGATTGGTAAACATGACCCTCTGAATATGTTGAGAACTCAAAGACATGACGCTCAGTGTCTTGGCCTTTCCCCAAACCTCTCAGATCAATTAAGAGCTTGTTGTGATCACTTTATAGGTTGATCGAACCTAAAGCACTCCTCTACAGCATTACTTGTTCGACAACAGGCTCCCCTCGACTTTGATTTGACAAAACTGGCCTAGTAGAGTAACTACATGTTATTACAAACATGATTTTGCCCCAACGCAGTGTATTTTTCTAGTTTGTTAAAAGCCTGCGACAAGCCTAAATGTTAATAATCTGCAGACTCTCTATTCTATTGCCCACTAATACATACCACACGCTTTCTGCTTATTCTCACAAAAACACTGCTCACATTTCACCCCGATCAAAATCGAAGAAAAAATACACAAGAAATTATATGTTTCATAAAGAATTTTAAATCGAATTAAATATAAGTTTTCATAACAATTAAGCACTTCTTTTTTTTGCCAAAACGTGCATTTGGACATTTTACTTTTGAGATTTTAATAATCAGTAATTTGTTATTGTGTGTTATTTGTTACTGTGATGCTGTATTTTTTTATTTAAATCAGCATAAATAAAGGGCTATAAATTATATAAATAAATTGAAAAAATTATAAATTAAACATATCTTTTTTTAACTTTTACTTAATTAGAAATAAAAAAGTATATATATATATTTTTTTTTTTTTAAATTGTACTTAAAAATAAAATGTCACAAAATAAAAATAAATATCATGGAAAAAAAAATCTCTCAAAATTAAAGATAGTCCTAAAATTAGGCTTCTTTTTCTTCAAGTAAAATATAATTTCTTATTTTACGTTTTTGATTTTGGGGTGGCATATGACCCGGACATGTTCTTGTCAGGTTTCATGATTTTCATCCTCGTGTTAATTCTGTCCTGTCTCTCTACGCTGGTTTGTCGGTTTTGTATGCGGTGATGAAGGCCATGCCGTGAGTTCTGAAGTGTGTATTAAGATCAGCAGGTTTGTTAAAGTTACGTCGACACACCTTACAGGTGTGCTTACCTTCCCCATCCTCTACCTGTGTCCCCCCTACACTCGATGGTGACCCCGGGGACCCTGCTGCAATTGCAGAGTCAGAGGTCACATGTCCAGAAGTTAAACCAGTGACCGGAGACGCCTCGGTGTGATCGGAGGGGGAATCCCGCACGCGATGGCTGATGAAGAGATGCCTGCTGAGGGAGGAGGCGGAAGCGAAACACGCCCCGCACTGCTGACACTGACAGGTGCTGCCCCCGTCACGGTGACTGACAATATGCTGGAGAAATTCCTCCCTGTCCTCTGTGGTAAAACCACACGGCATGCAGCGAAATCCCGTGGCTTCCTGCTCCTCTTTAGCCTTTTTGCTATGTCTGGTCAGGCTGCTCTCAGCCAATTGGCTTTCTGCTTCAACTGAGGCCCCGCCCAAAGCACTACCATCGTGCTCCGATGAGCTGTCAGCTGCATCTGTGATTTGAGGAACTGCCTGCGAGTTGAAAACACTGAAAGTGACTTGCAGTGACAAAACCACAGGAAGTCATTTCACTTTCAATGAGCCTTACAGCTCATTCACATCAAGAACGATAACTATAATGATAACAATATTAGCGTCCACACCAATGCGCAATAATGTTCTGTTTATTTTAAGCTCGCGCAGCAGTTATGTCATATACCACTATAAATGCTCAAGCTCTTTAAAGCAGGATGGTTTCTAATTGGCTGTCAATGTTTTTTTTTTTGTTCATCAGCTGGAAAAAAATTATTCTGAAAGTGATTCCAATGATATCGTTTCTCTGAACCGTTATCAACACAGTTGTGGTTTGGACTTCCCTTTAAATTTAAAATTAATTTTAAAACTATATCTTTATAGTTATCATCCTTGGTGTGAACGAGCCTTAAAGGAATGATTTCAAACCTGTATGAATTTATTTCTTCAACTGTAACCAGACAGTTGATGTACCCCATTGACTTCCATAGTAGGAAAAAAAAATACTATGGAAGTCAATAGGGTCCATCAACTGTCTGGTTACTGACATTCTTCAAAATATCTTCTTTTGTGTTCAGCAGAAGAAAGAAATTCATACAGGTTTGAAACAACTTGAGGGTGAGTAAATGATGACAGAATATTATTTTTAAAGTGAACTATTCCTTTAAGTGTTGGTACAGTGTGTTCAAAGACTCGATACATTTGTGAAAAGTTTTAACTTTATGCAAATGAACAGCGACACAATGAGGTGTTCAAATATCTCAGTTGTAATCAATTTTTTGAAAGCTGGGCCCAGTTGCACAATTCACCAATAACATTACGGCATCTAGCAGTAGGAACACCTACTAGAGACAAATGTTACAGTGACCCTCAGCAAACAAAATCACTGTCAGGTGGTCATGGTGTTGGACATATTATGTCCATCTGACAGTGTATTTGAGCTCTTACCTGACTTTGTTTGGCTGCTCGTCTGTCTCCACCATGCTGAGCCTCAATATGTTTCTCAAGAATCAGCTTACTGCTGAAACTCCTCTTCCCACCTGTACAAAGTCTTCACAACAAGAGACAACAGTAAATAACTTCTAAAGGACCTCAAAAAATTAGTGTTAAACTTCCCGTTTATTTATGCCTGGATAAAAGGATAAAACTATGATAAATAATAGAGAAACACTGCTGAAACTGAACACTGCGGAACTAAGCCAATTGATTGCAAATAGCACTTGATATTTGATTTTGTTTTAGATGCGATTCCTAGACATTCATACATTTTAGGTGTCTAAATACTTCATGGGGCTACGGTACATATGTCTTACACTCACTGGCAATAAAAAGCTCTTTTGATTCCTTTGTGTTTGACACGAATGTGACGTCTTAAACTTGAGGATGACGAGAAGGAGCCTTCACAAAGAGTGCATGGAAACTTCTTCAGCTCCTTCAAACAAAAATGTCAATGTATTTTTATACACCATTAATACATTCATTTGGTTCAGGACAAATCAGAAAACATTCAAATTTAACAAAGCAAAAAAACAGTACAAATCATAAACGTGTTTTTATGGCTTGAAAAATGTTTTTTATTGCATGTAATGTTGTAAATTCTGCTTACTTAAATATGTTATCCTAATACATTATGTTATATTTCATCAAATAATATTATTATAATATAATTATAATAAAATTTAATATAATTTCCTTTGATGTAAAAGCTGAATTTTCAGCATCATTAATCAGTCTTAAGGCACTGGTATAGTCTTCAGTGTAACATGATCCTTCAGAAATCATTTTAATATGCTGATTTGATGATCAAGAAACATTTTTTATTGTTATCATAATGGAAAAAAATATATTTTTAATTTTAATTCTTAATATTTTTGTGTAAACAGTGATTCTTCTTTTACAGGATTCTTTGATGAATAGAAAGTATAAGAGGAATAATTAGAAAGAAATAGAAACAGCATTTACTTAAAAGTATTTTTGTAACATTATAAAATGTCATTACTGTCACTTGACCAATTTAATGCATCTTTAATGAATAAAAGTATTAATTTCTTTCCAAAAGAAAAATTGTAGATTCAAACCTTTGAATGGTAGTGTATAAAACATGGACATATATATAATTTTTTTTTTTTTTTTTACATTTTTGACAATGTATGTAATCTGAACTTCTGCCTATGCATCCGTGATGGCATCCTGACCTTGCCATGCTGCTCGGACATATGGGTGATGTAGCTCTCTTTCTCTTTGTAGCGCTTCTGGCACTGTGAGCAGCTCCAGCTCTGGATATGTGGAGCAGCGGAGTTCCCATCCTCTCTTGACACTCTTCCTCTGTCTTCATCCCGCCCCCACTCCTCCCCATCTGAGCTATCCATCTTTACCAAGTTGTTCTGTGCCGATGTGTCATAAATGTCCTTGTGAGAATCCTAGAGACACATTATGGTCAAACATTTATAATTTTTTATCAATGAATGGAGCTCATTTTTGTCTCAGCTGAACGAAACCAACCTTAACATGCTCAAGGAGAGAACTTCTCTGCGTGAAGAGCTTGTTACAGTCAGGGCATTTAAAGACGTGCATCTTCTGCTTAGCTAAGTGAGTGTCAAAATGGACACTGAGCAATGCCTTCTGAGTAAAAACAGTCCGACACATCACGCATTTATAGATCTCCCTGTTACAAAAAATAAAGGTTATTAGCACCTCAGTTATGCAAACATTTAAAGTCACCATGAAATCAAAATTGACAGTTCTTTTTTTTTTAAAGAATGTTACAGTGTTTATTATAAAGGAACGTTTATTATGTCTCGGCGAAGGGTGGGACCAAATATCCTCCACAACTGACTACAAAATTACATTCAGATCTGCCTCCATTTAGTTAGCAACTCCCAACTTTCTACGATCCAATCAATTCCCGAGGACGAAATCCAGTACTGTCCTACATTTTGTGTCATTCCAAAAGCCAATTCAATCGGATGTCACAATGAGACGAAAAGACTAATCTCAACTCCCATTTCATGTCGACTTTAAAGAAAGAATCGAGGAGACATGTACAAGCTAGTGTTGGGGAGTAACTAACTAAACTTAACCTCATTTTCCAGTACAGTTTAAATCCTTGCAACTTCTTTTTTGAAGTGAAATATTTAGTTAAATGCTTCCAGATTTAGAGATAATATAAAATATATTGTCCCCTTAAATAACTTCAATTTAATTTGTAGTGTAGATAATAACTACGTTAAAGCTGCCGTCGGCAACATTTTTTTGATCATATTCAGTGAAATCGACACTATAATCCGGCAGAACAACATAAAGTGGTTTGAGAAAAAAACCCGAGCTTCTAACTCCACCTGGAGCGTGTTATTTGTTTTGCAAAAATCCACAGCTCCCGGATCATCGGGTCCAATCAGCGCAGGGGGGTGTGAGATCTGACTGTCAATCACAGATCGGGCACACGCCACCCCTCGCGCACGTTACAATCACATGCACACGCCTGAAGTAGGGCTGTCACTTTTTATTCAACATTCGAATATGCATTCGAACATGACGTGAAATATCCGTAATCGAACTATAAATAAACTATCCGGTTTTTAAAGTGCCATGTGTAGCGCATTTTTTACAGTCTGTGATTAGACCGTTTGTTTTTTATTTTATTGTTTGCCATCTCATCCAGTAGCGGGCGCTCTAAACGTATTGTAGCGTAGGCCCATGACCAAATCAAGCGAATAATAGCCAATAGCCACCCTTTTTTGAAAATGGAAGATAACTCACAGAACGGCCAGCCTGAGCGGACAATTACGACCCCAAGTCATCTAAAAAGTAGTGTCTGGAAATATTTTGGGGTCTACACCATAGATGGTAAAGTAACCGTTAAAGATACGGCAGTTTGCCGAATTTGCAAAAAAACGGTTTACTTACACATCCTTGACATCCAATCTTCGCGCTCACCTGTCAAGTTACCATCCAAATGAGGCAGCGGAGTAAGAGACACAGCAGACGGCCAGGCACGTCTGTGTGCTCCGAGTCCGAACACGTGTTCTCCACCGCGGGGAACATCGTCAATAAAAAGAGAGCCACACTTGATCCAGATCAAGTTGATGTATTGGTGTTTCTAGCAAACAATATTAAGAAATGAATTAGGCAGGCCTTACTCCTGCTGCTGTTTAAGTTGTCTCGTTATTGTTTGTGCCGTGCTGTTCCGATTCTGTTTTTTTTTCATGGAGGGGCGGGGCTCGTAGATATTCGAACATATTCGAATACATTGCTTGATATTTGATATCCGTTCGAATTTGATTTTTCTCAAAAGTGACAGCCCTAGCCTGAAGTTCGTGCAGTAACGAAGAGTGATGGTGTAAAATCAAGTAAGCTCATTTAGAGTATAAATGACGTTAGCAATTGCAATCTATCTGTAGATTAGCCAGGGCAGCATACCTCCAAATAATCCATGGTGTTGATGGATGCTGATGAGACGGGCGCGTTCACTGAAAATCTGGTGCACACGCACTGACAAGCATGAACTCGGTGGGAGGGTATCCGTTGATAGTGGGGGAGGGGCATGAGAGTTGTAAACATTCAAAATTTTGCCTAAGTCCACTCAATCTGCCAGACTTGCTGACCGCAGCTTTAAGTGACTAGCTTGTGGTCTGGCTGCAGTTGCAATGTGGTTTCCCCAATACTGGCACACACACACACACACGCACGCACATGCACACACTGTTTACACTTACTTGGACTGTCTAGCCGTCTCAGGGAGTTCAGGATGCTGGGAGGTACAGTGGGTTTCAGCACCAGAGGAAGACTTGAAAGCCATGGGGCAGGAGGGGCATTTATGGAAGACCTCACAGTGAGCCGTCTGCATGTGAGTCTTTACAGCGTTCAGACTATTCACTCCTCCAAACACCAAATGACAACAGGCACATCTGCAGATAAGAGGAAATAGCTCCTTCATAAACCAATGGATAAAACAAGGGATTTATTAGTATTTATTACTACTATGTGTGGATACCTATATCCAAGGCGACGTGAGTAGTGCAGGCAGGTTTGATTCAGGTGGGTGTTGAGGTCATGAAGCTGACAGATGACACCACATTCAGGGCAAACCAGTGGAGGGAGCTGCTGATGTAACCGGCGGTGAGTTGCAGCACTGCATGAGTTCCACAGTGGCATTGGAGGAGAACACTGCATACAACACTAGAGAGAAAGCAAAATGTAATCATTTTGTCAATTTTATTATCAAATATATTAATAAAAAAAAAATTTTTTTTTTTTTTTGTGTGAAATTGTTAAAAGGGGCATATGCAAATCGAGTCCTGATACACACACATGCACTCACTCACCATGTCAGTGACACCAGGATCCACCTCTTGAAAGTGTGCTGCTATTTCTGCCTTGCCTTTGAATGGACTCCAACACTCTGGACAGCTGACAACATTAAAAATACCAAACAGCATCTTAATCTCTCAAACACCCACAATCTCAATTCATTTCATTTGAATGACTATTTTTTTCTTTTATTTCTAATTAATTCAAGCATACAAACTAAAACATGATCTGACAGTGTGTGGTTACCTGTTATCAGAAGGTTGTGACAGTTGGCCACCACTTTCTTTAAGGGCAGGCAGCGCAGGAGAGAGCATACCTGTAATTGAGACAAGAGTACAGTAAGTACATACTACACATCAGCTAAATCATTCTGAAATGGACATGGGTTAATGTATTATTCTAGATTATTGGTCAATTATCTACAGCACTGTTAACCTAAAGTCATTTACTGTTCAACTCCCTAAAGGATAAGCCAGCAATGCACCGGGTCCAGAGACTGTCCTTTGAAAATGGGTACAGAGAGAACAAGCCCCAGCTGAATTATTCCACTTAAAGGTTTAAGTCCTTTGTTTTGCAGTGGACAGACAGTGATTGGTTGATTTCTACGCTGCTCCCTGATCCCTGTGTGCACACTGGCTACTGATACTTATAGCATGACTATAAGTTTGTCTATTTTTACTTCTGGAATGTTTTATAAAATATAATGTTTTGTTCAGACACGTTAAGCTAAAATTAAGCAGCAAATTACGTCATTCAGGTTTTCAATATTTTCAATACCCCTGAAAGGACCCTGAAATAAGATGATCCCTTTGCAAAGAACTAATTTCCTAAAATATAAAAGCAGGTATACGCTATCGTTCAAAAGTTTGGAGATGGTATAATTTTTAAACGCTTTTAACTACAGAAGAGTCAAGTTTTAAATAGGAAAAATATCGAAACTCTTTGGTCATTTTTTTTTTTAGAAATGCTAATGGTCTTGTCCACTTCAATGATGTATGCTAAGCTATGCTAAAAGTGGTACCGCCAGAACCGGAGATCGGCTGAATGGATTCAAAAACAGTAAAACTCAACAGTTTAACTCTGGGGGAGTTGTAAAATGAGCCTATTTCCAAAAAAAGTGGAGTATCCCTTTAAACCTGAAGTAATGTTCTAGAGCAGCTTTACCAACCGTATTACCATTATTAGCAAGCCAAAAGTGACAGTGGATTTCAAAGGTTTTTTTTTTTCAGCAAAATAAAAAAATAAACAGTAATTAGATTTGGTAAGATTGCGCAGCTTGCGCACAAAAAGTATTTTCGTCGCTTGATAAACTTAAGATTGAGCCACTGTAGTCACTCAGACTATTTTAACGATGTCTTTCATAACTTTTGTTAATATATTAATATTAATATTGCCATTCATATTTTTTGCTGTTAAATTAATTTAATTGATATCTCAAGTTATCGCTTAAAAAAAACTTTCTTTTTTTTTCGCTTCTGTGGTTCCTTCTTGTTATGAAAATTCCTGATCCAAAATTTGCACAATGCAAAGTGCAAACCTAAAGTATTTACTAACTCACTCAAAAGTCTTGTTGGTTTGTGTCTAGAAACCTTAATACAACCCCTGGCAAAAATTATGGAATCACCACCCTTTTATACATTATAGCAAATAAACAAAATCACAGATATATTACAAAATATAAAATTCAATTGCTTAAAGGGCTAGTTCACCCAAAAATGAAAATTCTGTCAGTAATTACTCACCCTCATGTTGTTCCAACCCCGTAAGACTTTCGTTCATCTTCGGAACACAAATTAAGATATTTTTTATTAAATCTGAGAGCTGGATCACTCCTCCATAGGCTTCTTAAGGGATCGAAACTGGCCGGCCCAAAAGTTATGAAAGACATCCTTAAAATAGTCCGAGTGACTACAGTGGCTCAATCTTAAGTTTATCAAGCGACGAGAATACTTTTTGTGCGCAAAAAACAAACAAAAATAACGACTTTATTCAACTATTCATTTCCTTCTCTGGGGGCCGTGAGATTTCACGTAGTGGAACTGCGCAAAGCTTCTGTGTTGCACGTCACACGTAGGCTCACTATTGGCCGACGCTGGTCATGTGTGTGATGCGTGTGACGTACAACCTAGAAGCTTTGCATAGTTTCACTACGTGAAATCTCAAGGCCAACAGAGAAGGAAATGAATAAAGTCTTTATATTTGTTTGTTTTTTGCGCAGCTTGCGCACAAAAAGTATTTTCGTCGCTTGATAAACTTAAGATTGAGCCACTGTAGTCACTCAGACTATTTTAACGATGTCTTTCATAACTTTTGGGCCGGCCAGTTTCGATCCCTTAAGAAGCCTATGGAGGAGTGATCCAGCTCTCAGATTTAATCAAAAATATCTTAATGTGTGTTCCGAAGATGAATGAAAGTCTTACGGGGTTTGAACAACATGAGGGTGAGTAATTACTGACAGAATTTTCATTTTGGGGTGAACTAACCCTTTAACATTCTGGCTTCTTGAAACCCTCAAACAAACTCAAATTTTTTTATTAATGGCATGTCTTTTTTTCCCAGATCAAGCAGAGGAACAAAGTATGGAATCATCTTTTAATTTCCATTTCGAAAACAAATACTGGATGAAGTCTAAAAAAGCTAATTAGTCAGCAGTTAAAAGAGTGCTTACACACCTTAAAGCAACACTAAGTAAGATTTTTTACCTTAAAATAATGTTTTCAAAATCGTTTCAGTGGTTCATCGTGACATGGTGAAATGCACTTATGCCACCGTTTTGCGGTCCTTTATCTGATATATCCACGCTATGTAAGATTGCCAGATCGGGTCGCGTTTCTGTAGTCTGAATGAGACATAAGAAAACTACAAATTTGACTTGCTTTACGGCAAGCGTTACAATTGCCGATAAGTGGAGCGTACTCAACAGTAGACTACAACTACATGTAAGATACCTAGCAGCCGGATAGCTTTTGAATTGTCATCATGATTCCAAAGCCGGTGCTGGATAAACAGAGAGCATGTGTGTGCGTGCGACAGTAGGATGCGGTAGGCTAAATTATTTACGACAGCAGTAATGGACAATTCCGCTTCCAACCTGTATGGCGAACGCAGAGGAAAAGTTACTTGGTGTTGCTTTAACAAGCTGCTAATTGAAAGGAAACATGGCCACAACAAGAGAGTTGTCAGTTGAAACAATGGAAAGGATGATAAAACTCCAACAAGTAATTAACACAGAGTGTGGCCAAAGAAGTTGATTGTTCCCAGTCAGCTTTGTCTAAAATTTGGTGCAAGTATAAACAAAATGGGAAGGTTAGCTATAAAAGGAAAACATACAGGCAGACCAAGGAGGATGTCAAAGTGTCAAGATAGAAAACTCAATAGAAAATGCAAAACAAAGCAAATGGGCGGAAACAGGAGTAAATGTTTGTAACAGAACTGTAAGAAACCAGCTGAATGAAATGTGATTTACGCATTGAAAATCCAATCAAAAACCAGAACTAACACCTTAACAAAAGAAAAAGTTACAAAAGAGAAGCAATCACGGAGTGTGGATGATTGGATGAAAGTGATAATCAGTGATGAATCACAAATCTGCATTGGCCAATGACATGGCCAGCAAACAATCCGGATCTCAATCCAATTGAAAATTTATGGTGAAAATATATATATTTTTTAAATGTCAATGACAAGGCTCTATCTTGCAAAGCTGATCTGTCAAACACTATTTGAGAAAGTTGGAAGCAGCTTGATGGGGAATATTGTCAATATGTCCATGCCTCAAATAATTCAGAAAAAGAAAAAGAAATATAAAAAGACATGCCATTAAAAAAAAAAAGTAAGGTAATTTATTTAAGGTACGTTTCATGAAGTCAGAATGTTAAGCTATTGAACAGAACCTTTTTTCCATCATATCTGTGATTTGTTTGTTATAAAGTAAAAAATCTGGGTGGACATCCTCTCAGTGTGGTGATTCCATATTTTTTTTTCCCACCGGTTGTATTTAAACAAATTGAGGAAAGGTCACATAAGTACTTTTCTTTTCCTAGTGCATCTATAAATACACTGATAAAGACACAAACCTATAGGCACGGTCTCCTGCTGGCCAATCATCTGCTCCACACTGACAGGACTCATGACGAGGTGTGAACACTGCATAACCAGTCCCTTCTCCTTGTGCTCTCGTGCGTGGAGCAGCAGGCTGCACTTATTAAAGAAGGCCAGGCGTTTGGAGCAGTGGTTACAGGTCACCTCAATCCTCATAGAGCGCCGATCATAGTGCCTCGCCAAGCTGCGCTCCAGGGCAAACGCATCCCCGCACTCAAGGCAACGATATCCCGTTGAGGGCAATCGAAGACCCCATTCAAGGGGAGGCATGGTGGAGAGGTCCGGCTGATAACTTGGCAGTGGATTCTTACTGTTGAGGATTTTGTTGAAGGCCTCGACGAGGCTAGACTGGCTGCGTGAGATTACAGCTCCTGGGCTGTTCACAATGGAGGCTGGTTTGGCTGTCCCAGGGTTCCCATTCATCGTTTTCTGCGCCAGAGAGCGAATGTTAGCCCCAGGCATGGATGAAGAGATGGATGGCAGGGTTGACGTTCTAGTGATGTTGACTGCAGTGGCAGAGAGAGTGGTGGCCAGTTGATTCTGTGCCCTGCTGGCTGCAAATAACATAGCTGTGCTGGCATCCTGAAGGGTGGACACGGGCAACATTGTCACCTGAGGTGGTCCTTGAGGAGCAGCGCCAGATCTCTGAATCCTGTGGACTGGCTTACGGGCCCCTGCTCGAACTTTGGAGCCACCAGGACCTTTGGGAACCACTTTAGATACCGTACGTGTGATGTTACCGGCATACGCTTTGACATTCTTGATTTTCACTTTGAGAGGCTTGGCGGAGGTCTTGCTTGAGTTGGTGACACCTTCAAAGGCTGAATCTACCAAACTAGGCTCCGTAGATTTCTCTTCTGTCTCCTCAGCTCCATCATCATCTTTTTTTGTGTGAAGACCGCTCTTCTCCTGCACACTTACGCTCATGTCAATAACTTGATCTTGAGGGGCTTCTTCTCTTCTCTCCTTCTTTTCTGGCTCATTGGCTCCGAGCTGATTTGAGGGCAGAGATATATAAGGTTGAGGGATTTCTGGCTCAGGGCTCTCAGGAGAATCTCGCTCCTCGATTATGTGCTCAAGGTCTTTTTCTTCAGCTGGCAAATCATTTTTGGAGGTCATTGACGTTGGGTTGACACTGCTTTGTAAAAGTGTTGGAGGCTGGACAGAGGGCTCCTCAATTTGAGTGTTACTTACTGGTAAGGAAGGGGACGAGGGAGAGGGCAGCTGAAACACACTTAAAGGGGACCGCTGCATTCGTGGTACCTTGGGAGCAGAGCACAGCTGGGAATCCGGGCTCTCCTGTATGACGAGTGCAGGGCTGCCGAGGTCTGGTTCAGATTCTTCATCTTCAGATAAATGGCGGCGGACTCCTGCCCTCAAAGTGCCATTTAATGGTTGTGCTGCCTCACAATCAACTCTGAGGGGGAAATTTGAACTAATTGAATGTGAAGATAAGATGGGAGGATCAGTCAGGGGTAAAGACTGAGGCGGGGAGAAAGTGCTAGCAGGGTGTTTAGGAGAAGTGCCATCCTGGTTGTCATCATTAGTTACTCTAGAGGAAGAGAGAGACCAAAGTGGCCCATTGGTCTGCATCTGGGTTAGAGTTGGTGATTGAGAGGGTTCTGTAGCCCCATCTGAGATTGTTTTGAGTCCATTATAGATGAATGAATCTGAAGGCATCAGGTCATCTTCTCTGGGACCTTTCTGGGGAGACTCATGTGATGCATCTACACCAAGAAAGTCTCCAGTTATATCCCCTTCAGTTTTGTCATCAGAATGTACACTGTTTTTTACAATCACACTGACCATGGAGGGGTCATTGTTAGGACTCTCAGGGCTGTCTGGGGGTCTTAGGCATGGACTTCCACTTCTCTCCTTTCCAACAGCACCACTGTGTTCATTATGACTACCATCGGTGTCAGACTGAATTGCTTCTTTGGCATCAATGTCTGGAATGTCAAATGCTGCCAGTAGGTCATCGAAATCTGGTGTCTTCATGTCCCCCATTCCCATGTAGATGACAAATACCTGCATTACATGACATTCCATTAGCATAGATTTGCACTCTTGTTTATAATGTAGAAAATTGTAATGTGTTCAAATGCATCAACATGTGGGGAAAAAATATAAATGGCACATATTATGGCACATTATTCTCACATATTATGTGCCATCTATATATATATATATAATGAGATGTAATGTATAATGTGATCAGTTAAATTTAGCTAATACTTTAAATAGGAGGAAATAAAAGTCTTACTATAAAAGGGTTACTTACAGGAAGTAGCCTAGGCTATCAAATGTACAACGTTATTTCCTTACACACGTTCTTCTGAATAAGACATTTTACATTTATAAATGTAGTAGCTTTGCTCAGCTGCTATTTCATTTGTGAATGTTCTGAGCAGCAGGCAGTGCACTCGTTTTTAATTTACAAATATGAACTTTACAGTAATCGTTTCATAGGCTACCTAGAACAAAAGTATTAGGTGCCTTTTGCACGACAGTTTGGCCACCTATTTCAACAGAGAATGTAGTTCAGTAATTACAAGAAACTGACAAATCCGCAGGTCGCCATAATGAAAGTAATCTGTCACATAGTAGTCTTGCTAAAGTGTCTAGCCAAACAGCTACAGTAGCTTCACCCGCAGTCTGCAACGTCTAACGTTGATAATACAACAAACTTGATATTCATGAGGTGATGATGATCGTAATTATTATATATTCGTATATATATTTATTATATAATTATAGCGATACATGTCTTGATGTATGTGTTGAAGCGTAAAACTTTAGTTTACCTGGCCAAATATTCTCGGAGTGACCCAGGACGGCGCACAGCATTTGCGTCACCTCTGAAGAAAAACAAGTCTTTCCACTGTACACATGCAAATGTCGATACTGTTAGAACTATACTACAGAAAAGAGAGCCGTTGATTTCTTATGCGTTGCTTGCAAGTGTCCAGCCAGCTGCTTCACAAACGGCCGTTGTCGTAAAACTATGACGCAGTATTTTTAATACGTACCTGTTGAGTGTGACAGTAGCGAAATGGAGTTTATGCCCATGATAACCACACACGATCCACTTGCAGAGTTCAACAAATATATTCACTCCGGAAGAGGAAGTAAAAGCTGATTTATACAACTATGGCATTAAAGTGTGTGTGTGTGTGTGTGTGTGTGTGTGTGTGTGTGTGTGTGTGTGTGTTTATGACGGAGTTTATGAAGAAAAAGTACATACTTTTGAGTGTGTAGCAAGATTAGACAAGCTTTGAGAATTGTGTTTGAGACACTAACACGTCATACAATTGCGTCTTTAACGGTTGCTCTCTGTCGCATCCTGTTACCGTAAACTCCTGTCAGCAAAGAGGCAAATATAATGCATGGGATAACCAAATGATTGTTTCATTTGAGCTGATTAATAACATTATATTATTGGCAAAATACTTTATAGCCTACACAAATGAATAAATTTAAATTTGTAAATGTATACCCCTGTTTATTATATTCAGAAACGATTAAAATACTTCTCAGATGCCCTCAGTAAAATGAAAAACCAAACTGCAATAAAACTGTATAATTTATTTGTATTATACAATCTGTTGTAGTTTTTTTAATTAATAACTACTATTATTTAATTGTATTATTGTATAATTGTATTATTATTATTTGCTTTATGCCATTTTGTTGTATTCATATTTTGTATTCAATAAAAAAAAAATTTAAAATAAAAAAAAGAGAAGCCAATGCGAAACTCTGATGATTTTTTGGTAACAGCCACTGCCCACTAGGTGGCGCTTCGGTAGCGCGGCCGCGGCTGCTATTTGTGAAAATGCCAGACAGAATGACAACGAAAGGCTCAAGGAAGTAACAAAAGAAAGGGTTCAGAGTCCAAAAATATATTTAACAATATATTTATTTAAATCTAGGGGTAAGTAATAAAGAAAATAGTTGTTCAACAGTAAATAAACAAACACTTAAGAGAAAAACAATATGATGGTCCAGCTCCTCAGCACAACTGCAGGCCTCCCGGTAGACAGAGGGCAGACATCTTATATCCATCCACAAACTCAAGACAGGTGTGGATCCTTATCTGACAACCTATCAAAAGAGAGAAAAAACAAACAGAAAAAACCCAAAACAAAACTAATCCGTAACACCTCCCCCCTTAAAAAGGGAGAGATTCTCGTTAGAAACTCTACCTTATACAATTTCCAACCCCAAAGCATACATAAGTTTATGAGGAACAAAAACAACCCTACCGGAGTTAACACCAAGTCATTAACCATTACAACTTTCCCAACTCCCCGCATCTCTTGGTTTCGAAACCAGCAATCTCCCGGCGCCTGGAGAAAGCAAAATTAAGGAATTGAAAACCAAAGAAAGAAAAGAGAAGAGGAAAATGATTGTCAAAAGACTTATTCTCCACCACATGGGGCACGGGACAAGGCGTCAGCTAAGACATTATCTACGCCTTTCACATGACGAATCTCCAAAGCATAAGGCTGTAAGAAAAGAGACCACCTAATAAGACGCTGATTTGGATTCTGCAGAGAGTGAAGAAATGTAAGAGGGTTATGGTCGGTGTACACCACAGTGGGCATAGTCCCACAAGACACATAAACCTCAAAATGCTGCAGGGACCAGATCAACGCTAACGCCTCTTTCTCGATAGTCGAATAGTTGGTCTGATATGAATTGAATTTCCGTGAAAAATAGCTGACAGGGCGATCGATACCATTCTCATCAACCTGCAGCAGAACAGCTCCCGCTCCAACCTGACTAGCATCCACCTGAAGTTTGAATGGTTTATCAAGTCGAGGAGCTGTCAGAACAGGAGATGACGTGAGCAAGCGTTTAACATTCTCAAAGGCACTTTCACATTTTGGAGTCCACACAAATTTAGCCTTTGCTTGTAACAAATCCGTGAGCGGGGCAACAACAGAAGAAAAGTTGGGACAAAAACTCCTGTAATACCCAGCCATTCCTAAAAATCTCATCAATTCACGTTTAGTCTGAGGGCTAGGAAATTGGTCAATCGCTATGACTTTAGCACGTACAGGTCGCACTTTGCCCATTCCAACAACCTTGCCCAGGTAAGTCACAGTAGCCCTGGCAAACTCACACTTTGCCAGGTTAACTGTTAGTTTGGCATCTGACAATCGTTCAAACAGTGCACGAATTCGGATAAGGTGTTGATCCCATGTGTCACTATAAATAACAATGTCATCTAGGTACACGGCACAGCCCTCTAAACCAGCGGTCACTCTGTTCATTAGCCGCTGAAATGTAGCTGGAGCATTTCTAAGACCAAAACTCATTACGGTGTAAGAATATAGTCCAAACGGAGTAATGAAAGAGGAAATATCCTGTGCTCGGGTGGTCAAAGGCACCTGCCAGTACCCTTTGAGCAAATCAAATTTACTGACAAAAGTAGCTGATCCAACTTGGTCAACACAATCTTCCATCCTAGGCAACGGGTATGAGTCAGGTCTAGTTAGAATATTTACTCGTCTATAGTCAGTGCAAAAACGCTGAGTGCCGTCTGGCTTTCCCACTAACAAACAAGGCGAAGCCCAATCTGAAAAGGAAGGCTTTGCTATGTTGTTTTCAAGCATGTAACTGACTTCAGCCTCCAATTTCTGACGTTTGTCAAACGATACACGATAAAACCGTTGCCGGACAGGTTTAACATCACCAACATCTATATCGTGTTCAATCAAGTGGGTACGAGAAGGAGTATCTGAAAAGAGAACAGAAAACTCAGTCAGCATAGATTTTAACTCGAAACGTTGTTTGCAAGATAAATGTTTTACCCATTCTTCTAGGTTAGCCAAAGACTCAGAGTTTTTTAGACGAGGTTGTAAGATGACATCATCAGGTGATTTCACATCCTGTTGTACGTCACCTTTTTGACTTAAACTAGCTAGCGCAACTGAGGAAGGAACGACTTCAGGAGCAACATTACGAGAGTAAAAGGGTTTTAATAAATTCACATGGCACAACTGGGTAGGTTTCCTGCGCTCAGGGGTAGAAAGAATATAATTTTGATCAGACATTTTTTTAAGCACAGTGTAAGGTCCTAAAAACCTTGCACAGAAAGGAGAATCTGGTAAAGAAAATAAGGCTAACACCTGATCTCCTGGACTAAACATGCGAACCTCGGACTTACGATCAAACCAGCATTTCATCTTTCCCTGAGTTTTTTCCAACTTTTCTCTTGCCAATTCCCCAGCCAGGACTAGACGTCGACGAAAACCCTGTATATACTGAATCAGACTCTGTGGTGGCTCCTCCGGTAGCGCAGCTTTACTCAGTACTGCCATGGGTCCTCGTACACAATGTCCAAAGACTAGCTGATTGGGACTAAATCCCAAACTCTCCTGGATAACCTCACGTGTGGCCAATAACAACCAAGGCAACCCTTCTTCCCAATCACCTTTTAACTCAGTGCAATATGCCCTCAACAAAGATTTTAACGTCTGATGGAAACGCTCTAGGGCACCCTGACTTTCCGCATGGTATGCACTGGACTTGTTATGCCTAATGCCAAGCTGCCGCAGAACTTCTTGAAACATATTAGATGTAAAGTTTGTCCCCTGATCACTCTGAACAACTTTTGGAATTCCAAAAATAGAAATGAACTGGGACAAGGCTTTTACAACTGATCGTGTGGTGATTGAACGCAAAGGAAAAGCCGCAGGATACCGAGTGCTCTGACACATCACGGTCAATAAGTAAACGCTACCAGACTTTGAAGGTGGTAAAGGCCCAACACAATCCACTAGAAGATGCTGAAAAGGCTGTTCCATAACAGGTATGGGATACAAAGGCACAGGTTTTATGGTTTGATTTGGTTTTCCAGTCAGCTGACAGATCGAACAAGTCTTAATATACTGCCTTACGTCACTCTTAATACGAGGCCAGTAAAAGTACTGCAGCAAATGTTGGTAGGTTTTATTTACGCCCAAATGTCCAGACACCCCGCCATGAGCAGAATCCAATACAGAATTTCGCAAAGAAACAGGCACTACTACCTGTATAATTGGTTCCGTCAAACCTCCCTCTGTGTTAGAAGTCCACTTCCGCAATAGTGTCCCATTTTCAATGAAGTACCCATTAACGGAACTCTCTGCTACATCAGGAGACAAAGCAGCATCAAACAGCGAGTTCAGAGATGAATCCTCTTTCTGAGCAGACACCCAAACCTGATGGGGAATAGAAGGCAAAGCAAGGAGACCTGGCACCACTCTCTTAGACGTTAACAAATCCTTCACATCCCTTAGTTTTGCATCGGCTGACTGTTTACGCATTGCACGCGTGAGTGCACAAGACACAAATACCTCTGGATACTGCTGGGATATATCATTGTCACCCAATGGGGCAGGACAAGTAGCAACCACAGGTGGAGGTGGAACATCACGCCACACACGGTCACCCGCCAGATTATTCCCCAAGATCACTGAAACTCCTTCCATTGGTAGTGAAGGACGGACTCCCATCACAACTGCTCCATTTACTAAATCAGATTGGAGAAACATGTTATGCAGGGGTACAGACAATGTTTGCAACCCAATACCGCGAATCAGCACACTGTTCCCTGTATTGGACTCCTGAGTAAAAGGAAGAACAGATTGCAAAATGAATGATTCTGATGCTCCCGTGTCTCGGAGAACCTTAATAGGAACCTTCTCAGTACTTTCAAGCAGTGACACATAGCCTTCTGTAATAAAGGGAGAATATCCAACATCTCCAACATTGTAACGTACCGCTGGTTTCTCCAGATTCTGCAAAATATCAAGACAGCAGTCAGAATTATTATCTGTCTGAACAGACGAAACAGCAAGAGCAGGCTTGGGTTCAGATTTAACACGCATCAGTTTCCCTTTAAGTGCTAAACAATCCTTTTTCCAGTGTCCCTTTAAATGACAATAAGCACACCGGTCATTTTTATCAGCGTAACTTTTAAAATTCCTCTCACTCTTATTATTATCAGCCCAGGCATGACGGACAGTTACATTCTCTGTTGGACTTTCACTGAACTTGAACCTACTTTTCTTGACTTCACATTTATGAGTGAGTACATACTCATCAGTAAGAATGGCAGCCTCCTCCGTAGATGTAACATTACGATCAGTCAGAAAGATGGAAACATGC